GCTGTCAGGCCCAACTCAAAGACATGACTTTTGCCATTTTTGTATACACTACCTGTATGGTTAGTGCCCAGCATTTCCTTCCATGCCAGCCCCTTTCCCACCCAAAGACACCTCTCACAACACTCATATCCTCACACACCTTGACACACATCCACCCTTAGTGCATGCACACAGTCACACAGAACCTCAAATACATACCTACTCACATGAACACACGTTCACACTTACCCTCACATATGCAGGTATCTGCTCTCACAACACAAACGTCATCACAGACATCCTAACACACTGCCTTCAGTCCTGAGCTATGCACACACACACACACACACACACACACCTTCAAACATACACCTTTCTCATCTCAAACACACACATACACACAGACCCTCACACATACCTCTCTGCCTTGGTGTCTCTCTGCCTTTTAAATAAAATGAAAACAAAGACAAGAATTGTTTAATAAAAGATGTGCACATGTTCCATGAACATTCTGAGGCCCCCTCATATGGAGTAGAATCCTTGTATCACATCAAGGCTGTGTAAATACAAGTGTGAATGGTACAGATAAAAATACTGAGAGAAGCATTTCTGCTTCTATTTATATTTTCTTTAAGATTTTTATTTATTTATTTGAGAGGTAGAGTTACAGACAATGAGAGGGAGGGAGAGAGAAAGATCTTCCTTCCGTTGGTTCACTCCCCAAATAGCCGCAATGGCCGGAGCTACGCAGATTCGAAGCCAGGAGCAGGAGCCAGGAGCTTCTTCCTGGTCTCCCATGAGGGTGCAGAGGCCCAAGGACTTGAGCCATCTTCTACTGCTTTCCCAGGCAACAGCAGAGAGCTAGATTGGAAGAGAACTGGCGCCCATATGGGATGCCAGCGCCACAGGCGGAGAATTAACCTAGTGCACCACGGCGTGGGCCCTCTATTTATATTTAAAAGTAGGTCATAAACTGAATCCTAGACCAGCCCAGAGAATTGTATTACAGCTGGAAATGAGGGTGCTCTAGGTGATAAGCCCAGGATAAACAACAGTGTAACAGCAGGTATCCTATTGGTGTCTCCCTCCAGATCCCTCTCTGACCTTCTCCACCCACTTTGTGCCAGGAAAGCTGACCTTTATGGAAGAAATTAACAACTTCCCTCTGGCTTCCAGTAGCTTATCTAGAGTGGAGAGGGGCAGGTCACTTGAGCTTGCCAAAGGGAAGGAGGAGAGGTGATTGGGGGATCACTATCCCAGCTCCCATCTTGCAGGACTGCACCAAGTTATGTGCCTTCCTCTTTCCTGGGTTTAGTCAGGAGCCCTCTGCAACAGTTTTTCCACCTTTCCAGTCTGGTAACTGCTCTCTTACTAGCTCTAAGACTGTAGTATTTCCCTAGAATCTGTCCAAAACTCTAAAATAGCCTGAGTGTACCAGGAGTTTTCTGCCAACAGTCTGAGACCTTGAGAATGGGCTCAGCAAGAGTACAGCGGAATGTCTGTCAGAACCTGAGGGAATGGTTCAGGCTGGGTAGAGGTATAAAATGGACATTTCATTTTTATGTTTTTCTAGAGAGAAATAGTGCTTTGGTTTGTATGTCATTTGAGAGTGTCCTCCAAGGGTTTAACACCCACTGTGAGGTATTAAGAGGGCAAAAACTTAATCCTACTAAAGTGCTTGAGGTGGGGCCCTTGGAGATTACTGGGTTTAGATAAGGTCCTCAGAATACAGCACCTGTGGTTGAACACTGATGGTTTTTAAACTGTTTTTAAATTTATAATTTACTTGCATTTTATTTGAAAGGGAATGGAGAGAGAGAGGGATTTTTTTTTCCATCCAAGGATTCACTCCCACAATCCAGGATTTACCACCCCACCCCCAATCCTCAAGTACTCACTGGAAACAAGAATACTGAGCCTGCATGTAAAAGTACCTTCAAATAATGTCCTCTAGCCCAGAGTAGCAACCTCACTTCTGTCAGTCAAAGATTTAAGCAAAACTCTGTCTTAGATATTCTGGATCCACCACAGAGAACTCACTAGTGTCTTCTAGGAAGCAGAACTGAGCAGTTGTGACAGAAATCATGTGGTCAGAAACACTAAAATGTTTATTTTCTGGCCCTTGATAGAAAATATGTGCTGTGTCCATCTTTATTGCACAAAGTAGATACACATTCGTTTATGGCCCAAGGATTTATTAAGCATCTCCAATATATCAAGTACTGCACACATATTTTCTGTTTAAGGAGCTTTCAAAGGAGAGACACAATTAACAACTTTAAAAAGCCAAAGGTGGAGCAGGTCTTTGGTACAGGCTTAGGACACCTACTTTCCCACATTGGAGTGCCTGGATTCCAGTCCTGGCTCCACTTTCAATTCTAACCTCTTGCTAATGCTCACTTTGGGAGACAGCAAGTGGTGACTCAAGAAGCTGGGTCCCTCTCAGCGGACTAAATCAGATTTATATTTCTCCTGGAGTCTAACAAATACATAGAAACATCTGTTCTACCAAAATAACAAAAGTTTGATGATTATTGCACTTCTTAGTACCTTCTGCTTTCCAATTCAAAGGGAGTGAATTTCCTTTAAATCTTGAACAATGATTTGTCTCTAGGCACATCACAGAATAGTGTCTCAAACTCTGAATCCTAAAAGCTCTGATGTGAACTAATCTGATCTTGTATGTATGTGTTATTTTGGCTTCATGTCCTTTTCTGATATATAAATCTAGTGTCTTTAGTGTTATTATCACCCTTTCTCTAATATTCCCATGCTTCCTGGCCCTGGGTTTGATATCTCTTGTTCTTCATTCTCCATTCTTATTGGAGACATCATATAACACACAAGTATGTCATAATAAGAGACATATGAGAAAGGATTGATTCTGGAACTGTTTTTGCGTGTTGTGGAAGAGAAGTTGTAAATACTGAGTTATAGAAAGTCCAGTATTGCAGGTAATAGGCATATGAAGGTCTTTGATGATTCTTCTTCTTCTTCTTCTTCTTCTTCTTCTTCTTCTTCTTTTTTTTGACAGGCAAAGTTAGACAGTGAGTGAGAGAGACAGAGAGAAAGGTCTTCCTTCCGTTGGTTCACTCCCCTAATGGCCGCCACGGCTGGCGCACCGCGCTGATCCGAAGCCAGGAGTCGGGTACTTCCTCCTGGTCTCCCATGCAGGTGCAGGGGCCCAAGCACACTGACATTTATTCTAACCAAAGTACAAGCAAACAATGAGCCAACAGATATATTAGATTCTTTCCAGTTTTAATTTAGGGAGATTTGGGGTAAGGGAAGGAGCCTCTTAAGTCCTTACTTATTATGGGCTATTCTTTTTTATTCTCCTATGAAGCTAGGAGATATAAATAAAAGCTAAGATACTCATGGTCAGATTTAGAAAGTGTGTGTTCTTTTGTTTCAGTTGAATTATATCCTGCTTTGCAAGATATTTATATATATGCACTATAAGATATAAATATATAAAATGCATCTATATGTTTTATTTTGTATCTGAGAGACAGCGAGACAGATAGAGCAAGAGTGAGAAAGCACTTCCATCTGCTGCTTTACTCCCCCAATTTCGGCAACCACCAGGCCTGGAACAGACTGAAATTGGGAAATCGATCTAGATCTCCCATATAAGTGGCAGGAACCCAACTACTTAAGCCATCGCTGAAGCCTTCCTGGACCTGCATTAGAAGGAAGCTGGAGTCAGGAGCTGGAGCTAGAAATAGAACCCTGGTGCTCTGATGTGAGACATGGATGGATGTCTTAAACAGCACCTTAACTGCTGTGACAAACTCCTGCCTCTAAGATCTATGTTTTTTTTTAATTTTTTTTTATTTGACAGGCAGAATTAGACAGTGAGAGAGAGAGAGAGAGAGAGAGGGAGAGAGAAAGGTCTTCCTTCCATTGGTTCACCCCCCCCAAATGGCCGCCACGGCCGGCACACTGCGCCGATCCGAAGCCAGGAGCCAGGTGCTTCCTCCTGGTCTCCCATGCAGGTGCAGGGCCCAAGCACTTGGGCCATCCTCCACTGCCTTCCCGCTGGAAGAGGAGCAACCGGGACTAGAACCTGCGCCCATATGGGATGCTGGCGCCGCAGGCGGAGGATTAACCAAGTGAGCCATGGTGCCGGCCCCTAAGATCTATGTTTTTAAATCCATTGAGAGTTCTGTTATGGACCTATTGCTTTTAAAAGGAGGACACTCCCCCTCCGGGTTTATTGCCACTGGGTTTGAACATTTCACTTATTCTTCAGAGATGTTTCCCTGATCCCCTATTCAAAAAAAAAAAAAAAAAAAAACCCACACACACAACAAAACTCCAGGAACAGTGTATTTTATGTGGTTCCCACATCCTTGGTCACCCTAGGCATCCCTCATCACTCACTGCTTGGCTCTCTGTCTCCCCAACTGTATTTCCATAAAGGGAAGGGACTGTTTAGTTTTGTTCATGGTGTATTTTCTGTCTGTCATGTAGTAGTGCTCAGTACTACTGTTGAACAAATAATAACAATTTAATGCTGAGTATACTGAAATGCTTTGTATATTTCTTTATTAGTAATTACAAGTAGTCTTGTGTATATTAATTAGCAGAGGGAACAAAAGGACAGTATTTCTGCTCTATAACCATTTTTTTGAAATACTGCACATGTAATTAAAAAGAAAAGGTCAAGAGCCAGCACTGTTCAGTGGGTTGAACTGCCCCATGGGATGCCAGCATCCCTTATTGGAGCACGGGTTCTAGACCTGGCTGGCTGCTCTGCTTCTGAACCAGCTCCCTGCTAATATGCCTGGGAAAGCAGTAGAAGATGGCTCAAGTACTTGAGCTCCTGCCACCACATGAGACCCAGAAGAATTTACAGGCTCCTAGGTTTTGTGGCCATTTGTGGAGTGAAACAATGGATGGAAGATCCCTCTCTCTCTCCCTCTCTCTCTCTCCCTCTCTATTACTCTGCCTTTTAAATAAAATAAATCTTTTTTAAGAAAGGTTCAGACTATAAAAAGAAACTTCCTACTACTCTTATTAAACAGAAGAGATTTTGAGAAGTTCATGGAAAATGGGTAATATGAAAACACTATACACTGATTTCAAATGTTCTTGCACCAAAAAATGTTATCTTTTAATCCTATTTCCCCAATTTAAATTACAAATTCAAACCTTTTGAAGTACTCTCATATATACAGATACCGTATTACATCATGTAGGCACACTTTTCTACAGTAAAAATTGCTCTTGCTTTACTTTTCTTAAAGGTATCTATAACAAACTTGCAAGAGCATTAATGCTTTGGAGAGAAGTATTTTTAAATATGAAGAGTTGCTTTTTTTAAATTTCTCTCCGAAAAAGGAAAAACGCATTTGGTGTGCGCACGGAAAAGCAGCAAATGGCAACCTCAGAGCTATTTAGGACCCAGAGTAAGCTCCAAACGTGTGCTTTGAGACGGTTGGTAGGCCCCGGTGCGCTCTCACCAGGCACGTGCTCCCCTGGAGGCCCCTGAGCGGGGACAGGGGCGCCAGGAGCCGGTAAAACCGCAGAGTGCTGTGCGCACCAGCCGCCGCGCGCCCCGCGCCTCACCTGCCGCGTCGGCGGAGCGCGCGGGCCAGGGGTCGCCGGTGCGGAGCCGCTGCCGGGCCGGGAGGCTCCCGGAGGAGCAAGGAGCCAGGTGAGCGGACGCCCTCTGCCTTGGCGCGCGGCCGTCTCCTCCCGCGGAGCCCTCGCTCACGCTAGCGCCGAGTGGGGACGCTGCCCGCCCGGGCGCGGGCCTCGAGCGGGCGAGGGACGGCCGGAACTTCACGGCTGAGGGCGTTGGAGCACCCTGCCCCCGTTACTCCGCGCCTCCTGTCGCCCCGGTGGCGGTCTGCGGCTGCCTCTGGCTTTCCTAGGGAGAGAAGGGCCAACAGCTGCTGGGCGGGCTTCAGGGCGTGCGTGCGCTCGGGGTCCCTAAGGAGGACCCGGTGGCCCGCACGGGGTCGAGCCGCCCGCCCGTCTAGGACTTAGGGGTCGTGGGGGTGCTGCGGGGCTCGCTGGGCACCGTACCCGAGCCTCGCTGGGCACCGTACCCGAGCCTTCGTGCGGCTTCTCCAAACCCCGCAGCGGCTGCCTAGGGTGGTTCACCCTCCCCGGGCTCTGGGCTTACCTTGCTGCTCTCTTCACGGAAGGCGATTTGTCTATGGCCTTTGAATGTCTAGCCCGTTCCTCGTCCTTGATTTGCACAGGTTTAGCGTTGGGACACTAGGGTCTAAAAAACTTTATCCGATGACTTTTTGTAGGAAATTTTGGTGTTTTATTTTTGTTTTAATCTGTTTTAATTGCATGATTTTTTTTTCTCTTTGTCAAAGTCATCATTGCCTCTTTGAGAGGTGATTTTTAGAACCTGGCTTGACACAAGGATTTTATGTGCTGCTTGTTCGTTTTGATTATTGTATTGTTTCTCTGGTGCCCTGCTCCCCTAAGAGGGTGCAGGCAGGCAAGCAGAGGAGTGCTGTTAAATACTGCTGGCGCCTGGGAAACTGCTTGGAGGCTTTGGCGTTAGCTGCTGCTTTTCCTCTTACTTCCTCCTGCACCTCCTTAAGTTAATCAAGCTGATTGCCTACCTGCAGAATTTTTTAAATGGCAATTCCATGGAGAACTTTTTTTTTTTTTTAATATTAATTGTCACAAGACCCAAAGAGAGAAAGAGATCTTCCATCACCTCCTGGTTCACAAATGACTGGAACATTCAGGGCTGGGCCTTATCTAAGCTAAAAGCCTGGGTCTCCTTTGTGGGTGGGCCATGACCTGCTGCCTCCCAGGGTGTGTATCAACAGGAAGCTGGAATTGGAAGCAGAGATGAGTCTGGAACTCAGGCACTCTGATAGGGGGTGCAGGTATCCCAAGCAGTGTCTTAGGCACTGTACCAAACAGCCATCTTGCTGATGATTTTAAAGCTTATTTTTAGGGAGGACAGGAAAGAGAACAGGTAGCTTTTGAATCATTGAGTGCCTGTTTTTCTTCCCTAAGTAGAAGTTGATATTTACAGTACAGTGTTTTTCTTTTTTATAGATAATAGCACTGCTTCTACTTGGTGATTACCACTGATTGATATTCTTATTTGTTTCTAAAAAAAAAGTATTTATTTTTGTTTATTTGAAAGGCAGCATCAGAGAGAGAGAGAGAAAGAGAGAGAAAGAGAAAGAGAGAGAGAGAGAGACAGATCTTCTGTCTGCTGGGTTGCTCTCCAAATGCCCACAAGATCCAGTGGCAGGCCAAGCTACAGCCAGGAACCCCAAACTCTGTCTTCCATATGGATGGCAGAGACCCAAGTACTTGAACCATCACCTACTTCCTCCCAGAGTGCTCAGTAGCAAGAAACTGAATTAGAAGTAGGGTGCATAGTAGAACCAGATACTATGATATGGATTGCAAGAATCCCAAGTGGTGTCGTAACTCTGCCAATTGCTCATCCCAATAGATTGATCTGTAATTGGGCACATACTGTCCACCCCATCCTCGGCTTTGCAGAGGGTAGAGAATGGTACTCTATTGCCATCTGACATGTATGAATATTGTTTATTCTAAAAATTAGAGTTGTTTTTTTCTCAGCAAAGCAAATGGTGAAGAGAAGCAAGTGTATTATGTTTCAAGTTAGATAACTATATTTACATGTCTGTTGTATAATGTATATCACAGAGTATAAAGTTATATTAAATCTTGAACAAAAGTGATATCTCATTGTGATTTTGATTTACATTTCCCTGGTGGCCATTTTTATTTATTCTTTGAAGAACTGTCAGTTGATATCTTTTGCCCTTTTCTTAACTAGATTGGTTGGTTTTTTATTGTTGAGATTTTTGAGTTTCTGATATATTCTGGATATTAATCCTTTGTTGAATAAATAGCTTGCAAATATTTTTCCCATTTTGTCTACTGTCTCTTCACTCTACTGAATGTTTTGTTTGATGGTAGAAGCTTCTGAGTTTGGTATAATCCCATTTGTCAGCTTTTGCTATTGTTGCCTGTGCTTTCGTCACCTACACCATTGTTTGGAAATGTTTCCCTTACATTTTCTTCAAGCAACTTCATAGCGTCAGGTCTTAAAAATGTGTCTTTAATTCATCTTGAATTTTGTGCATTGTGAGAGGGAGGGATCTAATTTCATTCTTATACATAAATATGTCCAGTTTTGCCAGCACCACTTATTGAAGGAATTATCCTTTCGCCAGTGTATCATCTGGGCACTTTTGTCAAACATCAGTTGATTCTATGCATGTGGATTAATTTCTCTGCTCTCTATTCTGTATTCTGTTCCATTGATCTGTGTGTCAGTTTTTATGCCCCTACCGTGCTTCTTTAGTAACCATAGCTTTGTAATATGTTTTGAAGTCAGGTATCGTGATGCTCCTTTCAGGATCACTTTGGCTATTGTGGGTATTTTGAGGTTCTATATGAATTTTAGGATTATTTTTTCTAATTCTGCAAAGGCTTTCATTAGTATTTTCACAAGGATTGCATTGAATCTGTAGATGGATTTACGTAATATACACATTTTTATCAGTTTTTCTAATACATGAGAAGGAATATCTTTCCAATTTTTATGTCTGTGATGATTTCTTTCATCAATGTTTTGTAATGTTTTTATTTGTTTAACTTATTCCTAAATTTTTGATATTTTTGTGGTTATTGTGAATAGGACTTCTTTTTCACTAAGTTCATCATCATAAAAAAGCTGCTTTTTTGTATTTATATTTTGTAGCCTGCAACTTTATTGAACTGGCTTATCAATTCTAACAGTCTTGTGATGTTTAGTTTTTCCTATGTACAACGTTATGTCATCTACAAACATGGATATTTTGACTTCTTCTTTTGTAACGTTGATGTACTTTATTTCTTTCTCCTCCCTAATTGCTCTTGCTGATAACTTCCAATACTGCATTGAATATGAGTGATGAAAGTGGACATCCTTGTTTTGTTCCAATTCTGAGGGGAAATACTTTCAGCTTTTCCCTGTTCAGTATGATATTGCCTGTTGGTTTGTCATATATACTTCTATACCTAAATTGTGGAGGGTTTTATCATGAGGGGATGTTTATTCTTAACAAATGCTTTCTCTGCATCTATTGAGATAACCATATGGATTTTGTTCTTCATCCCGTTGATGTGATTTATGATTTGTGAATGTTGAACCACATTTGCATCTCTGGGATAAATCCAACTTGATCATGATGTATGATGTTTTTAATATGGTGTTGGATTTGATTTGCTAGTATTTTGTTGAAAAGTTTTGCATCCATGTTCATCAAGGATGTGGGTTGGTAGTTTGTGAGTGTGTGTATATGTGTGTGTGTGTTGTACCTTTGTTGGGTTTTGGTATCAGAGTGATGCTGGCTGCTTAAGAGTTTGGCAGAGCTCCATCCTGTTCAATACTTTGGATTAGTTTTAAAAGTACTGGAGGCCAGTGCCACGGCTCACTAGGCTAATCCTCCACCTGCGGTGCCAGTACTCCGGGTTCTAGTCCCAATTGCGGTGTCGGTTCTGTCCAGGTCACTCCTCTTCCAGTCCAGCTCTCTGCTGTGGCCTGGGAAGGCAGTAGAGGATGGCCTAAGTGTTTGGGCCCTGTACCCGCGTGGGAGACCAGGAGGAAGTACCTGGCTCCTAGCTTCGGATCGGCACAGCGTGCTGGCCGTAGCGGCCATTTCGGGGGTGAACCAACGGAAGGAAGACCTTTCTCTCTGTCTCTCTCTCTCTCACTGTCTAACTCTGCCTATCAAAAAAAAAAAAAGTATTGGAGTTAGATCCTATATAAATGTTTTGTAGAATTCCATACTAACTATCAGGTCCTGCACTGTTCCTTGATAGGAAACTTTTAATTACTGCTTCAATTTCATTGCTTGTTATGGAGCTGTTTAGATTTTCTACATCTTCTTGATTTAATCTTGATAGGTTATAGGGGATTTATTGATTTCTTTGAGGTGCTCCAATTTGTAAGCACATAGTTTTTCATAGTAGTTTCTTATGATCTTTTGTATTTCAGTTGTGTCAGTTGCAAGGTCTCCGTTTCATCTGTAATTTTATTTATTTAATTTCTTTATTTTCCTTTGTTTTTCTTTAGTCTAACTAAAAGTCCATCTATTTTGTTTATCTTTTCAAAGAACCAGCTTTTTGTTTCATTCATCTCTTATATTTTTGTTTCAATTTCATTTATTTCTGCTCTGATCCTTATTATTTCTCACCTCCTGCTATTATTGGGTTTGATTTGTCCTTGTTTTTCTAAATCGTAGAGATGCATTACTAGATCCTTTATTGGATACCTTTCTCTTTTTTTAATGTAAGCACTTAATGCTATAAACTTCCTCATAATACTGCTTTTGCTGTATCCTACATGTTTTTTTTTTATTTTTTTTTATTTTTTTAACTTTTATTTAGCAAATATAAATTTCCAAAGTACAGCTTATGGATTACAATGGCTTCCCTCCCATAACTTCCCTCCCACCCACAACCCTCCCATCTCCCACTCCCTCTCCCCTTCCATTCACATCAAGATTCATTTTCAATTCTCTTTATATACAGAAGATCAGTTTAGCATATATTAAATAAAGATTTCAACAGTTGCACCCACACAGAAACACAAAATGAGAAATACTGTTTGAGTACTAGTTATAGCATTAAATCACACTGTACAGCGCA